CACTGAGCCACATCCCCAGCCCCGTGTAATATTTTATTTAGAGACAGAGTCTTCCTGAGTTCCTTAGGGCCTTGCAAAGTTACTAAGGCTGCCTTTGAACTCACCGTCCCCCTGCCTCAGCTTTTCCAGCTACTGGGATTACAGGCATGAGCCACCATACCTGGCTCACATTTATAACCATTCTTAAAAAGACTATGAAAAGAAAAGGAAAGCGAGAAGGTTAGAAAACAAGGACCAAATCATTGACAAGATTTTGACCATGATTATTCCTGGAAAAAGAGGCATGAACATGGCAGTATCTAAATATAGCAGTAACCAATCACCAATGTGCACCACTAACTTGGAACTATATTTAAATTGCTGGTCCTGCCACATTGAAGAGTTTTGCTCCAAGAGCATAGGTGAGACTGGCTGCTTTGCTGTCCGTCCCTGGACTAACTCCACCTTTCCCTGATGTCCAGCCATCATCTGGAGAGAACCACAAGACAAGGACAATATCTGCTCTTTGGCTAAGAGAAGTCACGTAGCATTAGAGGTATTTGCCCTAGGATTGTGTAATTTGCTTATAGTGTTTAATTAGTGTGCATTGAATGCTAGTTGGGGTGCTCCAGCACACCCAACACTTTTGCATTAATTGTTTATATTTGATGATTGGTGTGATTGAATATATACTTGCATTTAAAGACAATCTGCCTCTGAGTTATTATTAATAGAATTGCTCACAATATTCCTCAAATTAGATGCCTCCTCAGCTTACTTCTCAGACATTGGTTCCACCACAAGCCTCTTTCTACCACTGTGTGCATCTGAACCAAAGCTTCTGCATAATGAATGGAGAGCCCAGGTCAAATTCCTATGCCCAAGCTTCAAGGGAAGCTGGGAAAGCCAGTTTCTGGAATCCACTTCTTGGAGGTAGAATTGTGTGAAATTCACACACACACACACACACACACACACACACACACACACGTTTAGAAGATGTTGGATGTTCATAGAGTACAACAAATGTTTAATGTACATGGTCTATGCCAGTGCTTCTCAAGCTTTAATATGCAAGCTCCCTGGAATGAAATTGAAATACAAATTCTCATTCTATAGGTCAGAAAGAGTTGGGGGATAAGATTTTTGTTTTCTACCTCCATAGTTTTGCCAAGCACTATTCTAAGTTTTACTTGAACTAACTTATTTGATTCTCTCAACTCTGTTCCAAAACAATCTGGTCCCAGTAAATGAAGACCATGCCCAACATGCCATGAGATTGAAGAAAGGCAGAGAGATCCAAGATTGCAAAAAGTGAAATTCATTAGAGACTTACTAACAGAAGCATGGTCCTAGATGGCAACAAAATCAGTTGCTTACTGGGTGCAACTGGGTGCACGCCTGTAATTCTAGCTACTTGAGAAGCTGAAGCAGGAAGATTGCAAGTTCAAGACCAGCTTTGTCAATTAAGGAAGACCCTGTCTCAAAATGAAATATAAAAAGTCCTGGGGAGCCAGGCATGGTGGTGCACACTTGTAATCCCAGTGACTTGGGAGGTTGAGGCAGGAAGATCACAAGTTCAAAGCCAGCCTCAGCAACTTAGAGAGGCCCTAAGCAACTTACTGAGACCTGTCTCAAAATAAAAAATAAAAATTCTTGGGGGATGTAGCACAGTGGTGGAGTGCCCATCGGTTCAATCCTCAGTGTATATGTATACTTTTTTTAAGTTAAAAAAAAACTCTATAAAGCAGAAAGTTTAGCTAAGAACACCTTCTTGTTCTCAGACCCTACCTGTTGAGGGCCACAGCCTAGTTGGGATGACGCATGGCATTTTGCCAGAAGGGAGTGGTTGAGAGGTGACACCATCCAGCCATTGAGAAGATGATGGTTCTGTTAAACTGTGTATTCAGTTGTATAAAGACATTTACTGCCTCGGTGGACCGCTACTTTGAAGTTCCGGTTGAGTTCTCAGAGATGGGGGGTGGGGGGCTGCTGGGAGAGTTCCCAAGGAGTACTGGTGGAGTTCGGGCAATAAAGTTTCCTGTTTGAATATACAAGTGCTTTGTGGCAGCTTGGTGATTTGTGCCCAGCCAGACTGTGGAACCTACCCTCATTGTGGACTTTTTAATAATTTCTTTAAAAATTATTTTTAGTTGTATATGGACACAATAATTAGATATAGATATAGATATAGATATAGATAGTTGTTTTTTTAATATGGTGCTGAGGACCGAACCCAGTGCCTCATGCATGCTAGGCAAGTGCATTACCACTGAGCCACAACCCCAGCCCCTAATAATTTCTTAATACTTGAGAGATGGTGTCTTCACTTTGAAGCAGTTTTGTTCTAACATACCCACAATCAATGGAAAATGCAACCTCTTATTTGAGGAGGGATTTGGGAATCTGGCTTTTTAGCATAGGAATTTCTAATAGCAGTGGATACCTCCTGCTGCTCTGGAGTAAGAGTAATCTGCAGTCCCTCAGTTTGATGAGACTGATGATTTAACAGAAATAATTTAGCAAAAAAGATTTCTCTTACTCCTCAGAGTGCTAACGCATATGATAAGAATGCCCTAAATCAACATTAGCATTTTGTATCATAAAGGCCCAGTGAAGGTTAATGCTCATTTTCCTGAATTAGACTGGACATTTGTACCCTTTTTTTGGTATCATAGCCTCTGAATGCCTATTTGGAGGAATCCTACTCTGGAAACTAAAGGTCAGAATTTTCTATTTCTAGGCACCCTAGAAGTGAAGACTCAGAACTGTGACCTAGGGTTGTCTGATGAAAAGCTCCCTTGCAGGACTTTGAACCTTGTAGGAGGGACAAAACTTGCAGGGAGACTTGGAGATTTCTAAGGAGTAGGGCTGCAAGGCAAGGAGTACTTTGGCACAACAGGGTAGCTATAGCATCTCAACTACGTCTCTTCTTTGGCAACAGATGGCTGATTTTCAGAGAACTTTGCTTCCTTTGATTTGGCCCTTTTTGCTGAGCCTGTTCTCCAGATCATTTGCAAATTCTGTAAGGCACCAATATCTTTTCAATAACCCTCTCTAATGAAGTTAACCAGTGTTGGTTTCAGCATTTGGCATTTATAAACTCTGGCAATACATTTTCTGATCCACTTGCAGCTTTTTTTTTTTTTTGACTTTCTCACTTCTTAGTTCACAAGTTTATTATGAAAAACACTGCAGTGCTCTTGTGCAGTAACACTGTCTTACAGGAGGGGGAAAAACAGTTCTGTTCAAAACAACTCACCAGGTTCTGACAATAACAAAGAACAACATGGGGCTGAGATTTGAGAAGGGAATAAACTGAGTGCAGACAAATCATACAATTAAATTAAATGGTTTCCCTGAAAATAAACAAAACAATTTCAAAACTCACAAGTAGAGGGGAGGCCTTGGTAGTTATTTTTAAAAATGTTCATTAAGCTCCAATGATTGTTTGCTGCTATCCTTATCTACAGTCATGCTGAGTAAAGCCATAGCTAAATGGAAGTTAAATTGTATTCACGATGTGTTAATGTTTACATCTTATTATCTGCAGTCTCAGAAAAAGCAAAAGTAACTACAAATAGTGCTATGCCAGAAACTGGTTTCTTGACCAAAGGTGTTGCTTCAGCATGCAATGAACTGGTGCATTCTAAAGTGGTCACGACTGTTGATAACAAGAGGCTTTGTATTTTTATATGGCACATCTTTTGGTCCATGTGAAAACAAGTTTTTTGAGTGTTAACTATTTTTGACACTTTGGAGTTACTGTTGCTCTTCCCATTTCCATTAGGTCAATATATGGTTCATGGCAATACTGTACAAATTTAAAATTTCATTACAGGAAGTAGTCTGGGGTATGACCAGTAACATGTGGTTCGCCTCTAGGAGGTAATGGATCAAACTGCAAGAAAGAATATTTTAGAGTATCATCAAGTTCCATGATTGCAGCGTGGTAACCGCAATGATAACAATAGTTTGGAGCACTGAAAATTGTTACTACATTCCGATCATGGCACCAGTTATATCCCTCCATCACCAGCTGGTGAGCTCTAGACACTAATGTGAGGCCATTGGCATGATTAAATGTCTCAGAAATATCTTTTCCAAATGTGTAACCAGCTCCTCAAGGAGATATACCCCAACTACCACGATCATCTGGATCTGACCACAGCAAGTCACACATTGGACCCTCATGGGGAACTTCTTGTAGACGATCAAAAGCTCTGATATGATCCAGTGTGTCTATGGATGGTGAGAGGTCACCATGTAGACAGAAGATCTGCCCATCCACCAAGGCAGTGAGAGGAAGATAGTAAAAAAGAGCTGTAATATTTCCAAACATTTGCATTTCCATATTTTCTTAAACACTCATCATAGAAACCATAAACTTATGTAATCTGCCTGCTCTCGTGATTCCCCTGAAGAATGGTGATGCGTTCCCGGTAATGAACCTTAAGAGCTACCACTTGCAGCTTTAATGGGCAAGTGGATCAGTATGGGAGCATATTGGAGGCAAGTGAGAAATTCTGAGTCTTTTCTCATGCTGTCAGAAAGACGGACAAGTGTGAAAGACATTTGTATGTGTTGTGAGGGAGGAATTTATTGAGATATGTCACATATTATAATATTCAATCATCTTAAGGTATACATGATTTTTAGTATATTCACAGAAGTTGGCAGTCTTCATTCTGGTGATGCTTTTTGATTTGTTTTTATTTCAAATCAAGCTCCTTTCAAGCGTTTCTCCAGATCCAAGGAATTTTGAGCAGTCGTCTACACGCAACGTACACGAACGACTCCTGCGACGGCTTTTATACAGAGCAATCCCAAATATTTTCTTTATGAAATAACGCCAGATTTCCCTCATCGGAGAAGTTATGACCGCTTTTGGTAAGACATTCTCGCAACCTCACAATTCGCCACTTAGGTCAACTCTTCCAACTTAATTCAATTTGTCGAATTAACTCACTCAATCGCAGACCCCGCCTCGGCACTGGGCCTCTCTGATTGGCTGATGCCGAGTGACGTCTTCAGACAGCGACACCGGAGCGGCGGCTGAGGGGTTATGTGGCTGGGCCACCGCGGGTGGCTCGGGGTTGTGGTACAGTGTCGCTTTGACCTCCGGCCCCTCAGCCTAGCTTGGACCTGGGGTAGCTATAGGAGTCCGATGGCGGGAACACTTTCCACCAGAGCTGAGGCAGCAGACGGGCTGAGGGCTCCGACTCAGCAAAACGGAGACGCTGGTAGCGACGCTAGGGTTGAGCCGCTTCCAGGGCGCCCAGAGCCCGGGGGCCCAGTAGTGGAGCCAGCCGCGGGGATCGTGGAGCAAACTCCAGGAGACAAGCGAGAGGAACCTTCGGCCCTAGCCCCAGATCCAGGCAAGCGGAAGAAGCGGCGGGGCGCAACCCGGGAGCGCGTAGTGCCGCCCCCAAAGAAACGGCGGACTGGGGTCAGCTTCAGCGATGAGCACTTTGCAGAGACCAGCTACTACTTCGAGGGCGGCCTGCGCAAGGTGCGGCCCTATTACTTTGACTTTCGAACCTACTGCAAAGGCCGCTGGGTGGGTCACAGCTTGATGCATGTCTTCAGCACCGAGTTCCGAGCCCAGCCGCTGGCCTACTATGAAGCCGCGATCCGGGCAGGCCGCCTGCATCTCAACGAGGAGCCAGTACAGGACCTCAGCATAGTGCTCAAGGTGCAGTCCTGATGGGTCTGGCTAGAAGGTGGGAGAGGAAAGGATCAAGATTTTGGGTTTTGTTTTTCAGACTTGGTATATAGGTTTGGGAGTTAAATTATAGTAATTCAGAAGCGTTTTCCTTTTCACTTGGAACACTCCTTTTTAGCCTCTGCTTTCTGTCTCCCCAAGTAGATAGCCTGTTTGTGCTTCAGAACTCAACCTGTTTATCCTCCCCATCAAGGTGGCTTCCTTGTTTCTAAGGAACATAATTTGGAATTATCATAGTTCCTTTTTGTATGTTGTCTTGTGGCAAGGGCACTACCCACTTTCTACCCTGCATCTTAGGTCTCTGTACAAATAGTGATAGTAGAGGCTATCATTTATGTCTCCTGGGTGTTGGGCACAAAGTTAAGCATTTTACGTAATATAACATTGAATTCTAATCACAGCTTTGTGCAGTAGGTATTGCCACCCCATTTTGTTTTTAAGAAAACTGAGGAAAGGTAAAGCAACAGGGCCACTTCCAAAGTTTGTGTTCTCATAACTACTGTTTAAACTATTTACATAGAGCCTGACATGTAATACATTGTGGGATGTCAGGGATAGAGACCACAATTGTCTATACAGGTGCTTTGACCCCTTTAAAATTCTGTCACATCAAGAGGTACCAGACACCTTTGTTAGTAACACAAGGCAATTTCAAAACTTAGGGATTTCCTCTCCTGTCCCAATTATGAAAAGTATAGTTCTGGTCTAACCCTCATATTTTACAGTTAAGGAAACTGAGTTCTAGAGAAATTTACTTCTCCAAGAACTTGTAGAGAGCCTATGGAAAATCCAAGTGTAGATCCCATATCTGTGGATTTAACAACTTGATATTTTTGGTTCAAGGTCACAAGAAGTGATGGTTCAAGGAGGTTTTAACTTCACTTAAAAAATTGCTTTTATAGTGTAACTTTAAGGTAGAGAATAAACAAATAAGCAAAACCAAGACATCCGAAATCTCACCTCTTAGAGATAATCATTAACTTTTTGCATACTTTTTCAATGCCTGCTATCTGTGTGTGCGTATGTATTTTTACAAAATGAAATAATACTATACACTTTTCTTTTTCTGCTTAAGCATATACTATGACCCTTCTATGTCAATAAGGAAAAAAGGAGAATGAGGTGTGATGTTGACTGATGACAGGCAGCTGGTTCCAAGCTGACAGGTTACCTGTGTTTTTGACAGGATAATGATTTCTTGCGGAACACAGTGCACAGGCATGAGCCACCAGTCACCGCAGAGCCTGTTCGCCTGCTAGCTGAAAATGAAGATGTGGTGGTTGTAGACAAGCCTTCCTCCATTCCTGTCCATCCCTGTGGCCGCTTCCGACACAACACAGTCATCTTCATCCTGGGCAAGGAGCACCAACTGAAGGAGCTACACCCATTGCATCGGCTTGACCGCCTTACCTCAGGAGTGCTCATGTTTGCTAAGACAGCAGTTGTCTCTGAAAGAATTCATGAGCAGGTTCGGGACCGGCAGGTAAACCAGGCCTTTCTCTCCTGTAGGTCACTTCCTGGGCTCATGAGTGCTCTGTGTCGACAAAGTGTCACAGAATTCTATATCTGAAATGGGCTTCTTGTTTATCTGGCCAAGCTTCCTACTTGAAAGTCATCACCTAAGGTGTCAAAGACAGATTACCCTGTATGTTTCAAAAGATCTTTAGAGATGGTATACACTATCTTTTTTTTTCCTTTATTTTTAAGGGAATTGAATTCAGGGTACTATATGACTGAGTTCTATACCACTGAGTTCTTTCCATCCTAGCCCTTTTTATTTAGTTTTTAAAAATTTGAGATAGAATCTCACTAAGTTGCTGAGTCTGGCCTCAAATTTGGGATCCTCCTGCCTCAAGTTCCCAGTCACTGGGATATAGGTGTGCCACACTATGTCCAGCTTATACTCATAAACTGTCTTTCTTGATAATTTGCTGTTTTGAAGTTTTAGAGTGCTGAGAGACGAGGGAAGGTTTTTAAGATTTTAGAAGGGCTAGGGATTTAGCTCAACGGTAAAGCATTTGTCTTTCTCCATTCCTGTCCATCCCTTGGCTGCTTCCAATACAACACAGACATATTCATCCTGGGCAAGGAGCACCAACTGAAAGACCTACACCCATTGCATGGGCTTGACCATGGGTTTGATCCCCAGCACACACACCCCCAAAAAAAAGAAAGAAAGAAAAAACAAAGAAAAGAAAGATGTTGGAGAAAGCCTATTTGGTAGGAAAACTCTGGTTGAAGATGGAAGAGGTTTGTGTAGAAGTTTACTGCTAATGATTATACTTTGGGATGCAGAGTTGGAATTCTGCATCTGGATCTGCATCATTTTAAGTGCATACTGTGCATTCATTTATTGAATGCATGCCAGGCTTAGTATCAACCACATTAAAGCCCAATTTACTGAATGCTTATGACAGCCCTGTGAGGAATATGTTTGGTTTTTGTTTTGTTTTTTTGGTATTGAGGATTGAACTCAGGGGTGCTTAACCACTGAGCCACATCCCCAGCCCTTTTTTGTATTTTATCTAGAGACAGGGTCTCACTGAGTTGTTTATGGCCTCACTAATTTAATTTGATGAGGCTGGCTTTGAACTCATGATCCTCCTGACTCAGCCTCCTGAGCCACTGGGTTTATAGGCATGTGCCACCATGCCTGGTGAGGAATAAGTTTTTTTTTTTTTTAAATCTCACATTTTCTAGATGAGTTATTGAGACTGAAAGAGATTAAAATAATATACCCAGGATCATGAAATTGGTAAGTGGTAGAGCTGGGTTTTGAATCCTCTTCTTTCTGACACTGGTGTATTCCTATCACTCCACAGGTGGTTTAGACTCCTTAAGTTTATAGACTGTATAATGACTTTCTCCTTCTTCCCTCCTCTTCCTAGCTAGAAAAAGAGTATGTGTGCCGTGTGGAAGGGGAGTTCCCTGCCGAGGAGGTGACCTGCAAAGAACCCATCTTAGTGGTATCTTACAAGGTAGGGGTGTGCCGTGTAGATCCCCAGGGCAAGCCCTGTGAGACTGTGTTCCAGAGGCTGAGCTACAATGGCCGCTCCAGTGTGGTACGATGCCGGCCACTTACAGGCCGTACCCACCAGATCCGAGTCCATCTTCAATTCCTGGGTCACCCCATTCTCAATGACCCCATCTACAATTCAGTGGCCTGGGGCCCCTCTCGAGGAAGGGGTGGCCATATTCCCAAGACAGATGAGGAACTGCTCCGGGACTTGGTGGCAGAGCACGAAGCCAAACAGAGCTTGGATGTACTAGGTCTCTGTGATGGTGACATGCCCCCAGGACTCACAGACTCTACAGCCCCCTCCTCAGAGTTGGCCAAGGACCGCCTAGAAGAGTTGGCCATAGCTCCCCAGAAGATGGATGGAATAGTTGAAGCAGTCCCTCAGGATATGGACACAGTGGACTTGGCACAAGGAAAGGCAGCTGAAACAGATGTTATGAATCAAGAGACAGACCCACTCTGTGCAGAATGCCGGCTGGTGCGACAGGATCCCTTACCCCAAGACCTTGTGATGTTCCTGCATGCCCTCCGCTATAAAGGACCGGATTTTGAGTATGTTTCACCTTTGCCTCCCTGGGCTCAAGATGACTGGCAAGAAAACTGAAAGCAGTAACCAATGGAGGGATTGCTTCTTGGGGTGGAACAGGCATGAGCCATGGGGCAGGGGCTGACCCTATGAGCTGGCACTCAGGGTTTCCATAGGATTGAGTTTGGGCTGTAAGGGACATGTTCATACATGCTACCTCCTTTCTTCTCCCCAGCTAGAATCTGGGAGCTTTTTGGTTTATAAATATATCCTTTTTTCTAACACCTTGTGTAACTGATTTTCTATTGCTTCTTCTTTTTTTTTTTTTAAATCAGTAAATGTCACATAAAATTAACTGCTTTAAGATGTACATTAGCTGGCTGAGGTTGTGGCTCAGTGATAGAGTGCTCGCACACATGAGGCACTGGGTTCAAACCTCAGCACCATATAAAAATGAAATATATTATGTGTACCTACAACTAAAAAATAAATATTTTAAAAAAAGGTGTACATTAGTGGCATTTAGTTTATCCATGATGATATACATCCATCACTTCTTCCAAAACATTTTCCTCACCTCGAAAAGGAAACCTGTACCTTATTAAGCAGTCATTCCTATTCCTTTACCTCTACTCCCTGGTTACTAGGAGTAGTAACTATTAATCTGTCTGCATTTATGGATTTGTCTGTTGGGGACATTTCATATAAATGGCATCATATAATATGTAGCCTTTTGTGTCTGTCTTTTGCTTCAGCATAATGTTTTCAAGATTAATTTGTAGCATATATTAGAACTCCATTCCTTTTTTTATGGTGGAATAATATTCCATTGTGTGTTGTGTGTGTGTAAAATAATGTCATCTGTGAATAGAGAGATTTTATTTCTTTCTTTCCCATTTGGATACCTTTTATTTCTTTTTCTTGCCTAATTGCTCTGAATACAACTTCCAGTACATTTTTTAGTAGAGGTGGTAGGGTAAAACTAGGCATCATTGTTTTGTTTCTGATCTTAGGGGAAAGTTTTTAGTCTTTCACTATTGTGTATAATGTTAGTTGTGGGCTTCTCATAAATGCCCTTTTCTATATTCTGTGAGTGTTCATGTTATATTAAACCCAGGGTCTCATGCATGCTAAGCACATTACTAACACTGAGCTATACCCACATCCAAAGACCTTTTTTTTTTTTTTTGGTTCTGGGGATTGAACTCAGGGGCACTCAACCTGAGCCACATCCCCAACCCTATTTTTGTATTTTATTTAGAAACAGGGTCTCACTGAGTTGCTTAGCACCTTGCCTTTGCTGAGGCTGGCTTTAACTCGTGATTCTCTTGTCTCTGCCTTCCAGGCCGCTGGGATTGCAGGCATGCATCACCGCGCCCAGCCGGGCATTCATTTTTTTTTTTTTTTAATATTTTTTAGTTGTTGATGGACCTTTATTTTATTTATTTGTATGTAGTGCTGAGAATCAAACCCAATGCCTCACACATGCTAGGCAAGCGCTCTTCCACAAAAACACAACCCCCAACCCCGAATGATTTTCTCAACTTTTTTTGTGTGTGTTTGGTGCTAGGGAATTGAACCCAGGGCTTTGTGCATGCAAGGCAAGCACTCTACCAACTGAGCTATATCCCCAGCAGGACATTCTTAATGCTTGTTTCTTACCCTAAATTTCTGACTGGACAATACTTAATTACTTACTTATTTTACCAGGGATTGGACCCAATGGTACTTAACCATGAAACCACATCCCCACCACTTTTTAATTTTTTATTTTTAATTTTGAGACAGTGTCTTACTAGGTTGCTTACAGCCTCACTAAGTTGCTGAGGCTGGCTTTGAATCTTCAATCCTCCTGCCTTAGCTTCCTGAGCCTCTGGAATTACAGCTATGTGCCACCATATCTGGCTTGTCTGGATAACCTTTTGATTCTTCTGTCCAAACAGAAGTTTTCTCTTTTCTGTTCCTTATGCTGTACATGTACATGTTGTTGGGTTTTTTGTTTGTTTTGTTTTGTTTTGTTTTGATGGTACTGGGGATTGAACCCAGGGGTTCTCTACCACTGAGCTACATCTCTAGCCCTTTTTATTTTATTTGAGAAAGGGTCTCACCAAATTGCTGAGGCTGACCTTGAATTTGCAGTCCTCCTGCCTCAATTTCCTGAGTAGTTGGAATTACAAGCTTTTGTTGTTTTGTTTGTTTTGTACACATAAGGAGAACCATGACTTTTGTTTTCAGGCATCAGGGAGTGAATGACACAGTATCATTAATACTTCCATAGCCTTTGACAAACTTATTGAGCAGTGATAATGTGGGTAGGGAAAAACAACTGTGTTTATATTCTTAACATTAATCCATACTGATTGTTAACTACCCATTATATGCCAAACCTTTTTAATGCTGTAATACAGAGGTGAATGCCTGGTCCATGCCCTAGTTGAACATGTATGATGAAGTGTACAAAGGGAACCAATAGAGATATGAGATAATTCTGTCTGTTAACAGCACAGATTTCTCAGAGGAAGAGGCATTTAACAGTGAGTTGAATTTGCATAATAGAGACATAGGAGAAGAATTCCAGTTAGAGGAGCAATATGAGAGAATATATTATTTTCTCCATTCAAGAGATAAAGGTATATTCCTAAGATAAAGAAGAGAGGAGAGACCAGGTGTGGTGGCACATGCCTATAATCCCAGTGTCTTGGGAGGTTGAGGCAGGAGAATTGCAAGTAACTTAGCGAGACCTAATAAATATATATAAAAAGGGTTAGGGATGTGGCTCAGTGGTTAAGCACCCCTGGATTCAGTTCCTGGTACAAAAAAAAAAAAAAAAAAAGGAGAAGCCAGGTGTGGTCATACACACCTATAATCACAGTGACTTGATTACAAGCCTGAAGCAAAAGATCACAAGTTCAAGGCCAGCCTAGGTTCAAAAAAAAAAGGACTGGGGATATAGCCTACTGGTAGAACAAACTGTGTTCAATTCCCAGTTTAAAAAAAAAAAATCCAAGAAAGCAGTTTTGGGACATTTGGATCTCAGGTCCTAAAATATGGCTCACCGTCACTAACAATTGAAATCTAATCATGGCTTGTATATCACAAGGGATTCTGAACTGCAAGGCATTAAACATTCCAGGTGATTCAGGATCCTCATGAATCTGAGTATTTGCTCAACTTCATGAAAAACCTTGTCTTTATTCCATGAGCCAGTCAACTCTCCTTATCACTAAGACCCTCAGTAACCCAGTAGCTCTAGGCTACTGAGGGCAGGAATCAGAGGCTCAATAAAACTCATTCAGATATTTGAGTGACAACTATGTGCTAGGTTTACATTAAGCTCTGTATATAATGTGAATAAGATACATAGATGCTGCATCCAGGTGAACAAGACACCCAAGATGTGCTGCTGAGCAGCCCACATTGCCTTGGCTGTTATATGTCTTGAAGTTCAGAATCCCTTGTGATATACAATCCATGCAAAGCTTTCAATAGTCAGTGACAGCAAGCAAGACTCTGGGACCCAAAGGCAAAAAATGTCCTGAAGCTGCTCTTGGGTCTTCCTCAGTAGTTTTTGTTTTGTTTTGTTTTGGTACTGGGGATTGAACTCAGGGGCACTTGACCACTGAGCCACATCCTCAGCCCTATTTTATATTTTATTCAGAGACAGGGTCTTACTGAGTTCCTTAGAGCCTTGCCATTGCTGAGGCTGGCTTTGAACTTGTAATCCTCCTGTCTCAGCCTCCCAGCTGCTGGAGTACAGGCATGTGCCACCATGCCCAGCTCTTTTTATATTATATTGTTTTTTGAGGCAAAGTCTCACTAAGTTGCTGACACTGACCTCAAACTTGGGATCCTCCTGCCTCAGCCTCTTACAGAGTTCATGGTTGGATTAACCCATACATGAGCTTCCCCTCTCATTGACATGAACGTTACTGAAAAGAAACAAATTATTCCTAAACCAGAGGATGAGGTTGCATAAAAGAAAAAGATCCTAGAAGAAATTGAAAACTTATGGGAATACATAAAGCATAAAATAAATGCAAATAGAAATAAAAGAAAAAATGTGTTCATGCTCTTGGGGAATATACAGTAAGTGTACAGTACAACATGGATAAGACCAGTAAATAGTTATTAACATGATCTGTGTGTCAGAAGGAGGGAGGTAGAGGCTACCTCGTTATCTAGCATGGTTCCTTCCAAGATTCTCAATGGGAGCATTAGTTTTTGCCCAATTGCCATCTTAGCTCTTCAGTTTTGTATTTCGTTCTCTCTAGCACTGTTTATTCTAAATAGTTAAGTCAGTTTTAACTCTATGTATTGGTTTAAATTTAACTAGAATTTAAAATGCAGTTCTTTTGTTGCAATAAGCCACATTTCCAGTGTTCAAAGCCTGTTGGTTTAGTAGCTACCACATATTGAATAGCACAGATATAGAACATTCTTTCATTGCAGTAAGTTATATAACACAGCATTGCTTCAGAGAGTCTCTACACTGGGTGTGATGGCACACACCTGTAATCCCAGCAACTGGGGAGACTGAGACAGGAGGATCTCAAGTTTGAGGCCTATGGTGAAGTGGCCAGTGCCTTGCTAAGGGGTCCTTTTTCCTGCCCGTGGAGGGTATAAGCCACCAGAGAAAAAATAAAGTCTAGAATAATTAGTGAAGAACAAAGACACAGAGTCAGAAAAAAATAGTTTTAAAGGATGAAGCACCTGATATGTTAAGCCCACACAGAAGCTGGAGTTGGACAATTAGAAAATGGTTTATTTAAGGAGATACATCAAAGGCAGAGATAAGGTTGTAAGGGTGGAGTCTTGCTTCATGGTATCTTGCAGTCAGCAGGTAGATTGGCATCTTGGCAGATCACACCCATCTCTGAAGGCTGTGTGCCTGGATGGTTATAGCAGATAGGTTATCACCCCATCTCCAGTGCTGTGTGGAACCAGGCAGAACGGAATAGAAATTCACATGTATTTGGTGATCTCACCCTGTGGGATTGCCAAGAGAAGTTCCCAAACACCAGCTGTTTATATTCACTAGGTTGAGATGCCAATGTAGTCCACACATAGCCCATGGATGGCTCTCAACAGAGGCTAGCCTTAGGAGACTCTGTATCAAACTAAAAAGAACTGAGGATGTGGTTCAGTGGCAGAGAATCCCCGGGTTCAATCCCTAGAATTTAAAAAAAAAAAAAAGTCTACACAAAATGAATTGAGTCCATTACAATGAATTCCACTAGTCTACAGACACCTAAAAAATGGAGAGAGAGAGAGAGAGAGAGAGAGAGAGAGAGAGTGTGTGTGTGTGTGTGTGTGTGTGTGTGTGTGTGTGTGTATGTGTATGTTAGAGCACTCACCTAGCACGGGCAAGACCCAGGTTTGATCCTCAGCACCACATACAAATAAAGGCATTGTGTTGTGTCCATCTACACCTAAAAAAAAAAATTTAAATGTTAAAAAAAAAATTTATTTTGAGAGGCCGGGTTTATGGCTCAGCACTTGGCCTGGCACGTGTGAGGCACTGAGTCTGATCCTCAGCACTGTGTAAAGATAAATAAAAATAACAGAAAGGTATTGGTACATCAACAACTAAAAAATATTATTTAAAAAATTTTATTTTGAGATAGGGTCTAGCTAAATTTCAAAAGCTGGCCTTGAACTTGCTATCCTCCTCCTGCTTCAGATTTCCTAGTAGCTGGAATTACAGGTGTGTGCCACCATGCCTCACTAGGTGCTAGAATATTTATACAGACCTGTGGAAAAGATACTTCCCTATAATGGAAGTATAGTTCACTGGTTGAGTACTTGCCTACCACATATGAGGCCTGGGTTTATTCCCCAGCACTTCAAAAGAACAAACAAAACCAAATTATTTCCTTTAAGGAATTCAGGTTCAATCTAGTTGTTCATTTCTATAGATCAAAGTTCTTGGATGTGTTTTTCCCCCTTGTTAATTGTTATCCTTTCAAAGAAAATTTAATTCCTTCCAGGTGTGGTGGTGCACACTGTAATCCCAGTCATCAGGAGGCTGAGG